GAGGGCCACCCGCATGATCCGAGGACAGCAGGGCAGACCCTACAACGAGAGGTTACGGGACCTGACCCTGTTCAGCCTTCACAAGAGAAGGCTGAGGGGGGACCTGGTGACCGTCTATAAACTCACTAGGGGGGACCAGAAGGGTTTGGGGGAGACCTTGTTTCCCAAGCACCCCCCTGGGGTTAACAAGGAATAACAGCCACAAGTTGTTGGAGAGTAGGTTTAGATTAGACATCTGTAAGAACTACTTCACAGTTAGGGCGGCTAGGATCTGGAACCAGCTTCCAAGGGAAGTGGTGCTGGCTCCTACCCTGGGGTCTTTAAGAAGCAGCTTGATGCCTACGTGGCTGGGGTCATTTGAGCCCAGTTTTCTTCCTGCCCAGGCAGGGGGTCAGACCTGAAGATCTACAAGGTCCCTTCCGACCCGACTTCTATGATTCTACGATTCTATGATTCTTTAAGCAAGCTGTTCAAACAGTACGATATTCACCATTTTGTGATCAATTGTGAAGTGAAAGTGGCGGTGGTAGAGAGGTTTAACATAACATTAAAATAAAAGATGTGGAGGTATATTACAGCCCACAACACCTTTCACTACACTGATGTGTTACAAGAGTGTATAAAGAGCTACAACCACAGTTTTCACAGAACTATCCACACCAGGCCTGTTGACGTGAACTTCTCAAACTCTCCATGGGTGTGGAAAGTCATGTACAGGGACTATTTCAAAATAAAAACAGCAGCACCCGTGTTTAGAAAAGGAGACCACGTGAGGGTGTCTAGGACCAAAGGGAGGTTTGAAAAAGGTTATCAGCAAACATTTACCGATGAGATTTTCATAGTGGATGAAGTCGTTAGACACGTGCAGACACCTGTATACTGCCTAGAAGATTACGAAGATGAACCTGTCGAGGGTGGTCCACAGCTCTGTAGAACCTAGCCCTCCACCAAGAGGCACGGGACTCGCACCCTCGTTACCGGGCATGGTCCGTCCAGCCAGCAAGACTGCCCTCAGGGGTCAAAAGGGAAGGCCCAGAGCCCTGCTTACAGGGAGGGTCCACAGCCAGCCAGACGACAGAGCTGTCACCAAAGGCACATTGAAACCTGCACCCTGCTTATAGGGTGGGCTGCAGCTCTGCAAAACCTAGCTGTCCAACAGGATCGCAGCTCTGCAAAACCTAGCTGTCTAACAGGATGCATGGGACTTGCACCCTCGTTACAGGGTGGCCCAGGGCTCTGGATGTGGAGTACCAGGCACAGATGCAGGACGAAGGACAGATGCCTGGACACAGGGAACAGTGAGGAGGCCACAAACTTCAACCCAGCCACGGGTAGGTCACCAGGCTCTGTCTTTTGAAGAGTTTGCTGTCACCAACAACCCTCGGCTCCTGTCTGCAAGGCCGTCCTGCTGCACAGTGTGGCAGACTGCCCAGTCTCACTCACGCCACCTGAAGGAGGCTACGCCCACCCTGCTTACAGGGGGGCACCTCTCCAACTGGCTGGCAATAGCAGTGGACTTGGTCTCCTAGTTACGGGACGTCCAGTGCTACACACATTTATATCACTTGTCCTCGCGTGTTAGAAGGCAGCAGCATGTGCCTCGCTTACAGGAGGCTGCGCCATTGGCAGTCGCATCTGTCAGCTGTGCTGGACCCCGATTACAGGGCGGCTGCGCTGCTCAAGACCACCAACCAGATCCACGGCCTTCTACAAACGAGGTAACGGTGACACACGCCTTGCTTACAGGGTTGTCCACCTTCCACCTGACTGCTGCAGAAGTGCATCAGCATCAAGGGCAGACACCCATTTCCAAGTTCCAGGGAGCACGTCCAAAGGCTCACCCAGCCAAAATTTGGCCGACACATGGGCGACACTTAAAGGCAGGGAGGTTGCTCTGTCCAGAGTCCCTTTCCTTCAGATCCCATTTTGCTGGCTTTTCATCTGTCACGGCTTGCCCGCTGCTTGTCCTGCTGCAGCTGCAAGAAGGAAAAAGAAAAACAATAAAAACCCACCCACACAAAACAACACAGAGAGACAGTCCGGGTGTAAGGTATGGAGCCAGACACTGAGACAGCAAGTTGTAACGTCTCTCTGTTTGGGCCGTCCCTGTAACCCTTGTTGGTCTGTCTTCTGTTTGACAGACGGGCGAGCAGGAATCACCTTGTTCAGCTTCCCAAGACTGGGTCAATTGGACATGGAAAGCCACGGGCCACGAGCCTACAGACCCAACTCGTACAAGTGGCACATGATATGGCGCCAGAAGGCGCCTACGTATGGGATTCCTATGTAAGGGGATGGTGCCTCCTGCCACCCGCCGGCTTCCGTGACACAAGGCCAAGCGGAAAAGGGTTGCTCAGGTGGTGCGGTTCAAGAAAGCCGCCCCACACCTGGAGGACAACGGGCAGAAACTACAGCTTTCCTGACGGGGAAGTCAAACCTCTCAAAGGACAAAAAAAGGTGCAAAACACCCGCACTCAAGTGGGGGGATGTAATGAAACCCCAGATAGCAGTGAGTGGGGGAAGGAACGACTGCCTGCTTGCGGCTGCCACAGACTCAAACCCAAGTGACAGCCAGCTCACAACCCCCACTCTCCTAAAGAGCTTGCTGCCTTTAAAAAGAAGGCGGACACAATATACCTCTGGTTTACAGGATCCTCACTACCCCACCTAAAATTTATCGGTGTACGACACCGTCAGAAGCTAAGACACAAATCCTGCTTATAAGAAGGTGCCAGAGATCCAGCCTTGTAAGGCCCCCTGATCCCAAGGTCTACGGCTCAGCATTGGAGCCAACAAGAAAAGGAAAGGCACCGCATCAAAACCCCCTGACCTTTCCTGGGCTGGCATGGTTTTCTTCCCTCCTTGTCAGTCAACTCCCGTTTGTGTGTCATCTTTCCTGCTTCTGCTACCAAGGCCTATAATAAACAGAGACAGATGCTGCATTTCACTCACCACATTGGAATTCAAGTCTATGGGCCACAGTTTCTCTCCCTCTCTAACCCGTACCTGAATGCATCAAAACCCCCTGACCTTTCCCGGGCTGGCATGGTTTTCTTCCCTCCTTGTCAGTCAACTCCCGTTTGTGTGTCATCTTTCCTGCTTCTGCTACCAAGGCCTATAATAAACAGAGACAGATGCTGCATTTCACTCACCACATTGGAATTCAAGTCTATGGGCCACAGTTTCTCTCCCTCTCTAACCCGTACCTGAATCTGCTGCCAGTCTGTCCTCTATCCATGGAGATAGGGGATGGCAGAAGTCTGTGGGCTCGGCTGTCGACATCCGGGCCAGCCAGAAGCAGAGTGTGACGGGCTGGGACTCTGGACAGAACCGCTAGGGCGGTACCATGAACGGTGACTGGAAACACCAGCAACCCTGCTTAGAGGGCGCTGCTCCCTGCACACAGCTGGCTGCTGGGGTATGAAGCCCAGAGAAAACCTGCAAAGTCCTGAATGCCAGCTGACAGGTACATCAGGCAGTCTCTTGATTAGAAGTCAAAGCTGCCCCATGTTTGGAGGACAAAGGGTGTGCAACGTTAGCCTCCTGTCATGGAAGTCACAGCACCCAAGGTAGTAAATGAGGCCTCAGCCCCGAAGCCGAGGCAGGGGTGAGGAACCCCCTGCTTACAGGAGGGAAAGGTGTGGGCAGGGAGAGCTTCTGAAAATTACCGAGGGCAGCAGAAAAGTCTAGAGACCTGAGCCCAAGTTACAGGAAGGTGACAGCCCTCAAGGAAGCCACGTTCCCTCTGCAGCACAAACAAGGGGAAAGAGAGACACGCGCCCTCCTTACAGGAGGACCTGTGTGCCTCCAGCCAGCTACGGCAGCGCTCACACACACTTACTATGGGGTGCTACAACGTATACGGCGCCGCATAGCTCTCTCGCCTCTGGGCAGGAAGCAGCAGGCACCCTTTTAACAAGTTATGCACCAGCTGGGGAGGGCAGAGGGCAGGGCAGGCTAGAGTGGGATGGTGGCAGCATGTCTGTGTACCAGAAGCAGGTTTCCAGGAGGGCCGAGGAACTATCCTGGGGTATCGTTTCCATCCTATAGGGGTGGGTAAGAGTATAGAGGAGCATGCAGGGAGATCAGAGAGCAAGTGCTCAACATGTCATCCAGGCACAGGTGGGGAGAATACAAAGTCTGTGGGATGTGAGGCCCCAGTACCCTGCGAGCCAACGTGCAGGTCACTGTTTTTGGACGGTGCTACCAGTAGTTAGAGACAAGAGCTGCAGTCACTGGATGTGTTACCACTGGAGCAGGGCACGTGGATTCATAGATTCATAGATGTTAGGGTCAGAAGGGACCTCAATAGATCAGAGTCCGACCCCCTGCATAGGCAGGAAAGACTGCTGGGTCTAGATGACCCCAGCTAGATGGTTATCTAACCTCCTCTTGAAGACCCCCAGGGTAGGGGAGAGCACCACCTCCCTTGGGAGCCCGTTCCAGACCTTGGCCACTCGAACTGTGAAGAAGTTCTTCCTAATGTCCAGTCTAAATCTGCTCTCTGCTAGCTTGTGGCCATTATTTCTTGTAACCCCCGGGGGCGCCTTGGTGAATAAAACCTCACCAATTCCCTTCTATGCACCTGTGATGAACTTCTAGGGAACCACAAGGTCGCCTCTCAACCTTCTCTTGCGGAGGCTGAAAAGGTCCAGTTTCTCTAGTCTCTCCTCGTAGGGCTTGGCCTGCAAGCCCTTAACCATACGAGTGGCCCTTCTCTGGACCCTCTCCAGGTAATCTGCATCCCTCTTGAAGTGCGGCGCCCAGAATTGCACGCAGTACTCCAACTGCGGTCTGACCAGCGCCCGATAGAGGGGAAGTATCACCTCCTTGGATCTGTTCGTCATGCATCTGCTGATGCACGATAAAGTGCCGTTAGCTTTTCTGATGGCTTCGTCACACTGCCGACTCATGTTCATCTTGGAGTCCACTAGGACTCCAACTATTCTCTATGTACTAACTACAGACACTAGTATGTGGTGATACACAAGGATGAGAGTTGAACAGCTATATTACTATCACCATGGATAGAGAAAGAGAGATCACTGTGTTAACAATGGTGTGTATTACACACACACGCACACTATCTGCACGTCAGTATACACACACAGCCTTACTGCATACATCACTGTACACTTTAAGTTATTCTCTATGTACTAACTACAGACACTAGTATGTGGTGATACACAAGGATGAGAGTTGAACAGCTATATTACTATCACCATGGATAGAGAAAGAGAGATCACTGTGTTAACAATGGTGTGTATTACACACACACGCACACTATCTGCACGTCAGTATACACACACAGCCTTACTGCATACATCACTGTACACTTTAAGTTTTCCGAAATAAGTATGCAATGAATAACACGGTCACTTTAGCTCTCTGTTCTCAATTTTATACTATTTTAAACCAAAGATCCCGACCTCTCCCCTAGAATTGATGTCCAGCAGTGTTTCCTGAACAAGAACTGGTTTTCTTTTTTTTTGGCGCTCTCTTTAAAAAAGGGAAAGTTGGTGCTAAGCAAGGTGCTCTCTGCAGAGGTTTCAGCATTGGCCGACAAGCAAGCGGTGCTTCTTGGGGCCCATGTGCACTCCTGCAGATCACCTCCCATGACATGGAGGAGACAGGGTGGCTCCCGAGGCGGCAGGCAGAGAAGAGAAGAGAAAAGGGGCCCTGGAACAGACCAGAGCTTCAAGCTGCAACACCCACCTCAGAAGAGAGCCCCGCAGGCCCAGCGCCCTGGGGACGCAGTCCTGCAGGAACCGCCGTGCGCACCAGAGCAGCCTGCCGCAGCTCTCCCGGCTGCCCGCCGGTCCGCCCAGCAGCGCCACGTGCGCTCCGCTCTGCGCTGCGCTGCACGGTCAGACAACCCGCTGAGCGGTGCCGCTGAGCATCCGAGTCGGACCAATGGGCACACAGAAGCCTGCACCCACCCTCCATTCCTAGCAGCCAATCAGGATGTGAATAAGGAGGCCGGGCTCCTAGTCCCACCTCCCCAGCACAGGCCAAGCAGAGAGAAGAAGGGCGGAGTGGCTGTGACCCCGCCCAAGCGGCCACACCATCCAATCGCCTCACAGCTCATGTTGGCCAATGGGAACACGAGCCTCCCATCCCTGCCCCGGAGCTCTCCCCAGCCCGGAATCCATGTCCGTAACTCGTGTGTCCGCCCGGAGCAGCGCGACCCCGCCTGGCCCCGGCCGCGGACCCTGCCCTAGTTACCCCCGAGGGAGCGAGCGAGGCCTTGGTCCTTCTCTCTCTGCCTCGAGCTCCTACCTGCCCGAGCTGCAGACGCAGGGCCTGGAGCCGTTGTCCCTCTCCCTGCCCGGCTGGAAACCCCGGCTTGAATCATAGGGCAGTAGCACAGGGCAGGGTTTTCTTTTCTCTGCCTTTAAAAAACAGCTGCTCCGCGCAGGGTGATGCGCAGGGAGGGCGGCACGGAGCCGGCTTTGTTGCGGGTCAGTCTCTCCGGGCTCCAAGCCTCGCTCCCGCCCCCGGCC